TCCATTTTCGAAGTTCAAAGTGTCCACGGTTGAGTAGTTGAATGAGTTGATTTTGAAGGTTCTTTGCTTCATCTACCGTGTCTGCTCCAGTTACAATGTCGTCTACGTAAGTCTGAGTGCGCAAGACATTTGCTGCTTCAGGGAAGTCTTTACCTTCGTCTTCAGCTAACTGGTGGAGGGTACGAATCGCTAAGTAGGGTGAGCTATTTACTCCAAAAGTCACTCGAGTGAGTTTGTATGTGGATATATCTTCAGAGGGATTGTCACGCCACAAGACGAGTTGGAACAGTTGATCGGAAGGTTTGATTAAGATTTGAAGATACATTTGGCGAATATCGCAAGTGAAAACGATATTGTGTATTCTGAAATGTAGCAATATATCACAAATGTTGGTCTGTAATTTAGGGCCGGTCATGAGAGAATCATTGAGGGAAATTCCAGAGCTGGTTTTGCAGCTTGCATCATAAACGATTCGGAGTTTAGTTGAGGTACTGGATGGTTTCACAACTGCATGGTGTGGCAAGAAATAGTGAGGAGAGTTGATATCTAGATGAGGTAGTTTTACCATATGACCTTGAGAGATGTGTTCATTTATATTGTCAGAGTAAGCTTTATACAAATCAGGAGAGAGTGTAAAACGTCGTTCAAGTGAGTGAAAACGTCGTTCTGCGATGAGTTTGGAAGATCCTAAAGGTGGATGATTTTCTTTAAATGGTAGCTGAACTAAGTAACGGCCATTTTCGTCCCTAGAGTGGGTAGCTTTAAACAGATCTTCACACTGTTGCTCTTCAACCGATATCTTTGAGGGTACAGATAATTCCTCTAATTTCCAAAATTTCTGTAGAGAGTTATGCAATTCGTTGTCAACCGTTGAGAGCAGAGAGATGGATGGAGTGTTGGCAGGCTGGGAATCGGTTGAACAAGGTGCATTCCCCATAACAACAAAGCCAAAGTGAGTTCCCATCATGTTAGGCATGTTAGGGCCGAGAGAATAGTTTTCATTCGTTAAAAGAAGAGGGAAGAGAGAAGCTCCGATCAGCATGTCAATGGGCCCTGATAAGTGGAAGCTGGGATCAGCAAGGGGGTAAGGTTTTACTTTCAATAGAACTCTTTGTGATATTTGAGATCTAGGGAGATTGACAGATATTTTATCAAGTATGTGCACTTCATGGTTGGATGCAACTAATTTTCCTGCCAGTGTGTTAACAGTGAGGTTCACAATACCCTTTGTGAGAGTTGGAGATTGAGAAAGACCAACTACTTGTAAGTTGGATTTGAAACGAGGTGCATTCAGTAGTTGAGCAGCTTTTTCACTAATAAAATCACACATACTGCCACTATCAATCAATGCTCTGAACACATGAGAAACGTTATTTTGAGCAGTAACTTTAACCAGTGTTGTGCCTAAAATTACAGTTTTAGGGATTTGATTAGCAGGACTGGCTTCCTGTGAGCAAAGAGATACGGTAGGTTTTTCATTCGAAACATGAGTGGTTGATGGTTGTGATGATGTAGAACCTTGAGATGTCTTGTCATGTTCAAAATGAAGTAAGGTGTGATGACGTTTGTGGCATTTGAAGCAAGATGCTTTAGACTTACATGTTTTAACATCATGTTTTCCGAGGCAAGAGACACATCTGTTGTTGTCCTTTACGGTTTTAAAACGTTCATTTGAAGAAAGAGAGAGAAAGCTAGGACAAGCATAAACCTTGTGGCCAGTTGATGAGCAGACAAAGCAGGGAAATGAGAAAGGATTTTTTGAGTTGTCTTGATTTGATGGAGTTGGAGTAGAGACCATTGTAACTTTCTGAGCTTGAATGAAAGAGGGCTTGGATGTGAAAGATTTGGGTTTAAAATTTGAATTGTGGTTGTTCGTACTTTGAGCAAACTTGGTATGTAACACAGCGTCTTCCATTTGGTTACACTCTTGATTAAGAAACTTGACTATTTCGACTACTTCTGGTAGAGAATGTGTTTCGCATTTTATATTAATTCTAAAAGCCTCTAGTTGTTTTAGAAGGTCATTGTCTAGTTTTCGTAAGAGTATGGTGGACAACAGAGGGTTAGAGTTAGAAGTAATGTCACAGTCAAGAGCTTTAAGTGCTTCTGTGTGTTCATAAAACAAGTTGAGGAACGTTCTGAGACATTTGTTTGAGGTAGAGGAAATGTCCGGTAGGTCGATCAGTTTGTTTAGGTGAAGTGTAGTTAACCTTCGGGTGTTGTGGTATCTGTCTCTGAGGAGCTGATAGGCAATTGAGTAATTGGCTGAAGTGATACTGAAAGCTTTTACGAGATTTAGTGGTTCATTTTTGAGCACGCTGAGAAGATATTGAAATTTAGTGACGTTTGAAATGCTTTCATTCAGATGGATGCTAGTGTCAAATAAGTTGATGAAACTTACCCACTGTAGAGGAGAACCATCAAACGTGATGAGGTCTAGTTTTGGGAGTCTTACGTGAGCAGATGATGAAGCTGAGATGTCACTAATTCTTGTTGAATCTTTACTTTCTTCTGGAACATCTTGCGGCTGCTGTTGGAGAAGGGCTTCAATCCGAGACTTGGCTTCGACGAATAGCAGTCGCAGTTTGTCTTCAGTGTCACTTACTGCATCCAAATCTAATTCTTCTGATATATGTTCCAAGGCTCTTTCCAGGTAATTTTCATAGGCTTCATGTTTCTTTTCTAACTGGTTCGAGAAGTTGTTTAAAGTTCTGATTTGTATCACTGACAAGATTGAGGGGGAAAGTGTTTCAAGCTCTTGTACAGATTTGAGAATCTTTTCAAAAGAATTTTGTATGAGAAGGGTTGATTTGTTGAAGTTTGAGAGTGAAATTGATCTGGTAGCCATATTGGACAAAACAGATGGAGTGAAACTTTACTAAGAATTAGATAGAGTTTGTGACACTATGAGAGTGGGGAGAAACATAAAGAGATTGAATGATAAAATAAAGATATTTCGATAGCTTGAAAGTGTTCTGAAAATTGAATCCAAAGACTGAAATTCAAAATCCAGGCTCGATTAGGACCAATGAATGATTTGTAGAGAATGAAATTAAATGGAGATTATAAGATGAGAAAAAAATGAACACACTTTTGGGATAGGAGAACAAGCACTGTTTTATTTACTTTTTGATACACAACATGTGTTAGCAATAGAGAATAATTTAATTTGATTAAGAACACATGTTAGTTGCAAGGAAAAGAGATGTACATTAAATAAAACATAGAGTGTTAAATAATATGAATGGTTAAAGTTTACTGAACATAGAGTGTTAGCCGAGACCAACGCTGGCCGTCGCTCAACAGCAGGGATTAACAGGGGATTTTTGTTGGAACATACATTATTATGATTGGTTCATAAATTATTATAATTATACAGGGTGTTAACTGATATTGTATAAAAGGTTGTAGACTTGCACTTGAATTCATTTTATACTAAAGTGTTAAGTTACTGGATTATTCCTTGAATTATGAAAAATACACTTTTACTGAGTACATGTCATTGAATGGGGAAAATACAATTGTGCCAGTAGCCTACTTAAATAAAATTTGTTTGAACAAATCTTGGTAATCACCAACAACCACAAACCAAACACATAAACCAAACAATCACCAACTAGGCTAACTAAAATTTGATCACCAATTATTTTTAAATAATACTTTATATCATACTGTTATATCATACTGTTCTTTTAAAAGATTTGTGATTATCTTTTATGTATCAGTAATTTGTTTAAAAAATAAAGTTGGAGGAACATTTATAAGAGTTGGGATGCCCTCATATGTAATAAGTAATAATATAAGACGTAACTAGTGTACCTGTTGCTCGAATTCAAGCAATTGTTAACTATTACAGGCGATATGATAAAACGAATAACAGTCATAGTTTCTGATGACTTTAAAAGATTATGGAAATACTCGGGCACAGTAAATATTTAATTTCAGCCAAGTCAGTAAATTTTTGTAGCAAACTCCTCGTTCCCACCACCACCCCTGGCTTAAGTCTGGGACTTATTTGCCAGGCCAATTCACCATGAAAATCTTCTTTCTTTTTACTTTCAATCCTCGTCCAGACACATTATGTGTCCAAAAGCCTAACAGCACGACTCCCTTCCCCATACCGCCCTGAGCGATAGGAAACATTGAGATTCGCTCTAACCTTTCCTCTCCCCTTCATGGAAAAGTTTTCATTCCTTTTCTTTCTTGGTTTTTCTTTGTTTCTTTTTTTAAATTTAAAAGGCTGTATGTATCAGTGGTTTTTCCTATTTCCCTAACTACTTTTCTAAACGTCTCAATTGTTTCCTTGTCACTCATCATGTTTCATTTTCTCATCTCTAGACCTATCTTATCCAAGACTTATTCCTGTTCTCCTACTTGTCTCCTGAAGTGGAAAACTTATCAGGGTTGGTACTGATTTTGGAAAACGAAATTCCCTGACTTTTCCAGGTTTTCCAGACTGATATTATACTTTTTCCAGGTATACCGTAAGACGATATCGAATAGTCAGAATCGAGAATCATTAGAAAAAATGTAGGCCTAAATAGTTTACTCATAAAACCAATAAGAAAGGAATTAAACATCTGGAATCTGGAAAATTAAGAGTACCAACTAACTTAACCTCACACGTTATGTTCTACTTGGCCTTGACTTGACACTAGCAGATAGACGATACGGTGCTTCTGATACTGATATATATATCAACATTTTGTTTGCGATATCATCGGCTTATATCGGAAGAAACATGTGATATAGGAAAAATAACTACCATGCTTGTACCGGAGACAAAAAGTAATACCAAACTAAACTATTAAATGTTTCAACTAACAGGATAACATTTTTTGTATAAACTCCTGCAAGTGCAGTTTTTTTTAGTTTATTAAAGGTTGAATCAGTATTGAAAGGGTAAAGGTGTTAAACTTTTCAAAGACTATACTCCGGGAAATAAAAGTATTATTAATAAAGAAGGCTTGTCAGAATCTGAGTGGAAAGACAGTATAAAAATGATTGCAAATGTGGTGCCAGTGCGTGTTCTCCACAGCAGAAGTCAGGGCAATAACCGCTGCAGGCATGCCTGTGGTGAGATTGAAACCCTTGCACATGCCCTTGGCTTCTGTCCGTTTGGTGAACTTCTAAGAATCACTAGGCACCACAAAATAAGAAGTATCATAGCAAATGCCTTCCGAAAAAGGTATAACACATGGGAAGTGCAAGAAGAAGTACACTGTCTTTCTTATAACGGAAGCACCAGAAGAGTAAATATTTTATTGATAGAAAGAGAAACTAACAAAGGCATAATTCTCGATTCAACAATTCAATTTGAAATAAACATAAATCAACCTAACGAAGTAAATGAAGAAAAAAAAAAATATGATCCTACCTTTGAATATTTCAAGAAAAATTTTAAAATTTGGAAAGTTGAGGTGATTGGATTGTTTATTGGTTCAAGAGGAACATTATCAAAATTTTTTGTGAACTTTTGGAAACAATATGATTTGGACAGATCCTTTTTGAAAATTATTACTCATGAAACATTAAGAGGTTCATTGACCATAATGAGAAATCGTCTATATGGCAAACATCAAAATTAATCAGTCTTATACAATTTTATCTTGTATAATTTTTTCTGTGTCATTGGCAACCTTATTTTTTAAGGCAGATGTATTTATTTTTATAAATAAATTCTTTTCTATTTTTATAAATTCAATGAGGAATTGTATTCAGTGTCGTATTGAAATTGAAACGATGAATTTAGGCCTATCCTTCCGCGCATCCCGGTACTAGCAGTGTTTCCATACGTGGGATTATTAACTTATCCCAAAAACTTTTCAGAGCCAGCTTAGCCTTAGGACACATTACCTTAGGGTGGTGCAATTCGCGTATCGCATTTATTCCTAAACCAGGAAGGGATAGTTACACTGATCCTAAGTCATTTAGACCCATTTCTCTATCTTCTTTCTTCCTTAAGATCCTAGAAAAGTTGGTCTCAAGATATATGATGGATACAGCTCTTAGGACACATCCTTTTCATAATAATCAGCATGCGTATGTCTCAGGAAGATCATGCGAGACTGCGTTGCACCAACTTGTAAGCAAGATTGAGAAAGCTCTAGAGAGCAGTGAAGTGGCCCTGGGTGCCTTTCTCGATATTCAAGGTGCTTTTGATAATACTGGTACGCCAGCAATTCTTAATGCGGTGAGAGGAAGAGGTTTTCTTGGTATAATATGTAGATGGATTGAATCCTTGCTTCACAGTAGGAAGGTTAGGCTCTCACTCCATAATGACACGATCGAGGCAAGAACTACTCGAGGATGCCCTCAGGGGGGGGGGGTTCTCTCTCCTCTCCTTTGGAATTTGGTAGCAGACGACCTTATAAGGACACTCAACGAAAGTGGGGTTTTCGCCTTAGGTTATGCTGATGATGTTGCAGTCCTTGTGATTGGAAAGTTCCACGGAACCATAACTGACCTTATGAATAGAGCTTTAAGGGTAGTGGACCGTTGGTGCCAGGAAGTTGGGCTCTCTATAAATCCCAGGAAAGTTGTAATGGTACCCTTCACAAGAAGGAGGAAACTGGATGGGATCGGCCCACTAAGACTGCAGGGCACTGTAATAGAGCTGCAGAATCAGGTGAAGTATCTTGGTGTAATTTTGGACAGATCACTTCACTGGGGACCACATCTTCAAAAAGTCACTGAGCGTGGCAAATGGTCCCTTATGGCATGCAGGCGGATGGTAAGTGGCACATGGGGGTTACAGCCTAAACTTTTGCACTGGCTGTACGTATCTGTTGTTCGACCCGCCCTTACATATGGTTCGCTTGTGTGGTGGCCAAAGATGGAATCTACTATAGCTGTCAAAGCTTTAGCAGGAGTTCAGAGGCTTGCTCTTATAATGATAACTGGGGCAGTAAGCAGCTGTCCTGGAGCGGCTCTTGACTGTCTGCTTGATATGCTACCTATCGACATTTACATCAAGGTGGTAGCAAGTAAAACAGCCCAACGCCTTAGATGCGAATACTTATGGATCACCTCAGGAAACAATAAAGGGCACTCCAAAATTGTTCAGGTGGTACATAATGATGAATTGCACTTGCCTTCAGTTTCAGATCACATGTCCAAAAAATACTCCTTTGGAAAGCCTTTCAAAGTACTAATACCAGATAGGAAGGATTGGTCTGGCGGAAAAGGACCCATACCCACAGGTGATTTAGAATGCTATACTGATGGTTCTAAGATCAAAAATGGGGGCACTGGAGCAGGTGTGCATTGGATGAATGGAGGCACTGGCATTTGTCTTCCAATGGGGGTGTACCCAACTGTCTTTCAAGCGGAGGTCACTGCCATTCTAGTTTGTGCTCAAGAACATCTTAACAAAGATATCAGAGACAAAACAATCAATATCTATACTGATAGTCAAGCGACCTTAAAAGCATTAAACTCTTACGAATTCAACTCCAGGCTCGTGTGGGATTGTCTTGCTTCTGTGTCTGAGTTGGGTAGGAGAAATGACCTTACGCTTTGCTGGGTGCCAGGACACTCAGGCATTAAAGGAAATGAAGCTGCAGACAGATTGGCAAATACTGCCTCTGCGACTTCAATGATAGGCCCACAACCCTTCTGTGGCATCTCACGAAACAGTGCATGTTCTGCGATTGCGTCATGGGCCAAGGAAAAGCATCGCAAATGCTGGGTCGATGTTCCCCTTCTTAGGGTCAGCAAGCTTACTCTGTTTAGGCCTTCTAAAAAGGTTGCCTGTGACCTCTTGAGACTAGACAGACGAAGAATTAAATTAATTGTTGAACTGATAACTGGTCATGGAAGATTCAGGAAACATCTACAACGGATGGGCTTATATGATGGTGAACCGATCTGTAGGTACTGTGATAGGTCAGAAGAGACAGCTGATCACTTACTCTTTGATTGTAACGAGCTCTTTGACGCTAGATCGATAACTCTTGGAAATATGGCTAGAGGTAGATACCTTCCTGAGGATGAACTAATTGGGAAGCTACAGGCATTCATTGGGCGCCTTAACTTGTAGGTCAACAAGAAAGCAATTGTCTGGGGTGCGCAATAATTCGATTTTGGATGAAGTGCTTAAAGGTCTCGACCTGCCCCTGTCAGATAAGATAAGATAAGATCCCGAAAACAGGATTTTTAGAGCATGAGCGGGATTTGAAGGGGATGTGGGATAAAACAGGAGTTTTGGCTATGACGTCCGTTTTTATTTACTATGCTTTTATTTTAGTGAAAAACTAACCCCAATCGAAAAAATTACCTTAACAAAATATAATAGCAATGTTAAAACAACTATTTAAACTAAATATGTCCAATTCAACACTCAGAATTTAACATCAAAAATCTTAAGGGATTAAACGGGATTTCTTAACCAAGTGACCGGGATTATATTCTTTTGGTCGTGTAGAAACACTGAAAGCTCAGTGCGTTCAATTAAGCCAGTAATCAGAGGGTGATGATAGAATGTCTGTCGATGTTCGATGTTTTTTATATCGATGGTAGGTTCCCAATGTTTTTGTTACATCGATGTTTTCGTCAAACTTCGATGTTTTTGACCAAGTATTGAGACGTAGATGCAAAATGTAGCATATCTGTAAAAAATGTAGTCTTTCAAGAGAAATTCCAGATTTTTTCCAAAATTCCCTGACTTTTCCCTGACTTTTCCAGACCAACAAAATTCCCTGACATTTCCAGGTTTTCCAGGTTTTCCCTGACCGTACCAACCCTGCTTATAAATACGTGGCTCGTGGTTTTTATTTCTTTACATCTACATACTTCCTCTTCCACCAGGTTAAATGTCCACAAATCCATCTTGAAATTTTCCATGTCCTGTCACAAACTGTGTTTCATAATGGCCCATCTCCCAATCTTGTTCCAGTCTCTTTCTGATGTTAGGTATATATCCGAACGATTATCTATAGGCCTAAAACGTTTAAAACACTCTGCTCCCAACGCATTTGCCACTCATCTAATATCTCCTCTCTTCTGTTTCCGATTTCCTTGTATTCCAAAATTAACAGCTTATAGGCAGCGATTATCCTACAGTCCAAAATTGAATGTGTAATCTTCAGGCGGCTGTTGGAGAGTATACTTAAACCCAACACAGAAGGGTGGTTGCTGTATTCGGCTATCAACGACAATAGTATTTTTTGTATTTCGTTCGCGTCTACCAGTTAAATTTCGTCGTCCTCCTCCTATTGGCCTGGCCGTCCTGGTCGACATCTTATAGTCTCCATTATTTCAAAAGTTTTTTTTGGTTATGTTTTGATTTTGTGCAAATACAAAACTGATCTAAAAGAAACATCAATCTTTTCAACTACGGTAATCTAATAAATCCTAAATATCTCCAATTTTAGTATAACCAGCTGTTTCAAATATTAGTGTCAATTACAAAGTATTCATCTGTTCAAATGTTAACAAACATTTTCTCTCTAAGAATAACATGGGAACTATGAAGGCCACTGGGGCAGAGCCCTGATGGAATTCCAAAGTTTTTTTGATTGATGGCAAAACTACATGTAAAAACTACAAAGCTACAATATTTCATCAGCATGTCTAGACACCTTATTTCACTCGGGTCACAGAAAACATACTACCATAACCCAGAATGCTTAATGCATGGTAAAAAGTGTTAAGTACTCGGAGAGAGCTTTGCCTGTCAATTCGTGGCAGCGCCACCAGCATAGCAACGATGGTGACGCTGCCTACGAATTAACAGGAAAAGCTCTCATATAAGTACTTAACACTTTTTACCATGTGGTTAGCATTCTGGGTACTGTAGGTAAGTATGTTTTCTGTGCTGAGGTTTACTTAAACTGTTTAAGCATGAGAGATCTTAAGTGCAAGAAAACAGGTTATAATTTTTTCTTTTTTGTTGTTGTACCACAATGTTTTGAATGTTTAACTATAGAATTTATCTTTTGTCTCAGCAAATTAAAGCAATTTATTGTTAAATTCGATATGACAAATATTAAGAAATTTTTAGATAAAAAGGTCTTTAACTCTTAGACAAAACCCAACAATAGTGTTTGTTGGAACCATTTTTATTTTGCAATTATTCGCCTGAAATAAAGTGTGCAAAAGTGCTAAATGAAACCTAAGTAATAAACTTCAATTGCAATTTAAATTTATATAAATATGTTAAGCTATTAACTAAGTTATTTTTAAAAAGTAATTAATTAAAATGTGACAACAGAAACTTTTTACGATGTTTTGCATGTTTTTCACAATCAGTAGGCTAGTAAAAAAAAAAAATGAAAAAAAATATTATTTTGAGGGAAATTAAGTAAAATTGTGCAATTATGAAATTGTACAGAATTTAATGGTGAATTCTAATCATTCTTTATGCTAAAAAAAAAACAAAAAAAAACAAGCAAATGAGATAATCCCAACATGTCAACTTAACCCTGCCCCCCAGTGGGTTTAAGTTCAAGTCCAAAACCGTTGTTATTTCGACCTAGATTTTCTTATTTGTGCTAAACCATGACTCGTGGGGTGAGGTTCATAAAGTCAAAATATCATTAAGTCCAACGGTTAAAATATTAATAAACAGAGCGTTTCACAAGGTCCAAATTTCATAAAGTCGAAAACTATAACTTTCAAATAATCACCGTTTTACAATGTACAAATTTCACAAAGTCCAACGTTAAAATATCAAATAAATAGAGCGTTTCACAAGGTCTAAATTTCACAAAGTCCAAAACTATAACATTCAAATAATCACTGTTTCAGTTTCACAATGTCCAAATTTCACAAAGTCCAACGTTAAAATATCAAATAAACAGAGCGTTTCACAAGGTCCATTCTCGGCCAGAAGTCGCTGCAGAGGTTGCCGTGGTTCGGTTCGGCATGTAGGCACTACACGATCTAGTGTTGTAGCCGCACGTCACAAAACATCATTGTGGGTACGTAGATGCATTGTAAAGAGTGTAAAGTAGTTTGGTACCCCCTCTACAGCAAAGTATCGTAATTTCTTTTCATATCGTAATTGGAAAGCGGCGGTCGCTGAAAACTTCGCGCAAAAACTAGCCAGACCTAGTAGTGGTCATGTAGACGATTATTGGACAAACTAAAAAAGAATCTAAAAACTATAAAAAGGTAGTGTACCTGTCTAATAACCTGTTGAATTATTTACATTTGAACACTATTTCCTATTAGAATTTTATGAAATAATCGTTATACAACAGCAACAACAACTTCATAGGTACCTTAGTATTTTATACGAAAGTCACAGACTCCTTTGTTTGTGATTACGCATATTTTGGTAAATAAAAGGTAGGACTATAACTTACAATCCTTAGCTCTCCACTGAAAAGGCAAATCCAAATATAAATTATTGTGTTGTCAAAACTTTAACATTATTGAACTAGCAACATTAAGTTGCAAAGAGAAAACGAGACTGATGTCAAGTAAAAAAGTGTTAATACTTGAGTTTCAGTTTTTATTGACATGGGCTATACTTACAGTATACAAAAAATACAATATGATGTCTAGGCCTACATATGAGTTAAATCCTATTCATAAAAATTTATTTCAGCGTTTATGTGTGTTATTTTCTACCTTTTGATGTAGTTTCAACTCATTCTTTCAGTGGGTAGAATGAATTAAGTTCAAGGTTTTTGGCACTTTTCTAACAACGGGCTATTTTGACATTTGATATAAAAAAATAAAACCGATGTAATCATCATGACATTTTGACAGCTATAAGACAATATACTTATAAAAAATATTTAAATATTTAAACATTTTTCATCGGTAAAAATATTTCTTCCGATATATGTAATCGCTTTTTAATTGAGAGACGGAACAGTTAAGAAACTCAGCTGAATGCTTGAATCAAAGCTATTAAAAATATAAAAATGTAAATTTGATTTGCACATTATGTGTTAACACAAAGTTGAGTCAAACAGCTAAGTGTTCTTCAATCATTAAAATAATCAGTAGTTAAGCGTCGGCGGACGGTGCCTGCTATCTGACCAGGGCAACTACTGTAGAGACTTCTGGCCCAGACTGTACCGTTGGACCTTGTAAAATTTTGACCGCTCTGTTTATTTGATATTTTAACATTGGACTTTGTGAAATTTGGACATTGTGAAACGCTGATTAGTTGGATGTTATAGGCCTAGTTTAGGACTTTATGAAATTTGGACCATGTGTTTTTAAAGCGCTCTGTTTTTTTTATTTATATCTTAACATTGGACTTTGTGAAATTTGGACATTGTGAAGTGCTCTGTATATTTGATATTTTAACATTGGACTTTGTGAAATTTGGACATTGTGAAACGGTGATTATTTGGATGTTATTGTTTTGGACTTAATGAAATTTGGACCTTATGAAACGCTCTGTTTATTTATTACTTTAACCGTTGGACTTTGTGAAATTTGGACTTAATGAAACGCTCCCGACTCGTGAATACAACAAGTTCATTTGTTTGGCCCGGGGTTTTCTCTAATTGGACTCGCGAAGCCTTGGGTTTAACACGTTCGCTGCGGGACATCAAATGGCAGGCGTAGCCTCAGCGCGGCACAGCCCGCAGCGTCGAACAAACCCGATTGCCGGGTGTTTGGCTCTCATATTTCGGTATGACAAATAGCAAATAACGTGCGGTGATGTCCTGTTTTATAACAAGAGTCGACGTAGTTCACTAAACACTCACATATAGCAGCACTGCTTGGAACGTAGCCGGTCCCATCGTATTGCCAATTGGAGGGAGAAAGACGGGACAACAAGTTGATTTTTAAGTTTGCCAGACGGGGATTTTATGGGGAAATTTTACCACCAACCTACAACACAACAAAAAGCAAGTCACCCACTACACGCTAACGTGGAATTGGTCTGCCTTCGACCGACGCTAGAGCAAAAACGATGATATACGAAAGGCATTGCCGAGCGTATCCGATCGGTTACGGCAGCGTCTGAACAGCGCTCGGCCCGTATCCGATCGGATACGCCCGCAGTGAACGTGTTAAAATCCCTGTTATAATTGGGTGAAGATAATTGGGTCTGCGCCTGAGCGCAAAATTGGGGTCACGAGTACAAGGTTATCCGAAGTAGGTAAGGTATTAGATTTAGATAGGCCGCCACGCTGTTAAGTTTACGGTAACTTACTGCATCTGTTGGCAAACCAACTAAGAAAAAAAAATCTCTGACGAGGAAAAAAGCTAAATATTAAATTCTATCTTGGAGAATGAATCATATTCTACGACATAAAACAAAAACTTTTTAGCAAGAAGTTTGCAGCCACTAAGTTAAAGTTAACTTATGTACGACAGCCACCATGTGTGAAGGGACAAGACTTAAGGTAAGCGTGGCTTCGACCCTTATGGGAAGGCGGCCCAAGGTCCAATTGTTGCTATTAGTCCCTAGAAATATTAAAATAATTGGTAAGTTATACCACAGGATTCACAGGAATATCCAGACTTACTGCAGTTTTTTTAAGGTCATCATTTGGTTAACAGTTTCATTTTATAATCAGCAGGTAGTTAATGTATAATAGTAAATGTAGGACGTAAACTAATCCTACCACACCAATCCTAAAAAGTGCAACCCCCCTAAAGCCCTATATTCAGGGTTTTTTTTTACTGAGAATGAGAATGAGAGAATGAGAATGAGAATGAGAATAAGAATGATTTATTTCCTGAAAGCATAATAATATGTACAAGGAAACGTCAATACATCAAAATCTTAGCCTAAGCCTGCAACACACCATGCAGAGAATTGAAAAACAAATTTTTTATTACTGGACTCATAAGTTTACTAAGCTTGGATCTAACTTAGTTTATTAGAAATTATGAGTTGAAACCCCAGAAATGGGGTTCTTGGGCACTCCCCCATGGGTTAGGGTGAAACTAAATCTTATATTTATTGTAACTAAAACCAATATTTAATAGAGACAACAATAAACAGTGGCCCAGTACAAACAGTACCCTGTAGGCCTAAAATTAATAGTTGGAATGACAACTTATAAATCAATGGAGTTTTAAAACAAATGCCCGTGCGGAGACGCGATTAAAAGTTATAAACACAAGCAATTAATATACCTCACCTCCATAAAAATTAGTAAATTCAACAAATTCTTGAACACTGTTACAGAATTATTTTACTAAGATATATGAATGAAACCTCGCCCATCAGCAGTCCATATTTGGTTATATTTGTTGAGGTTTCCACAGCCACTAGTATACGAGTGACATTGCAGTGCCATGCCCGTAGTGGGGACTATAAAAAGTTGTTATCGTAGGCCTACTATAATAATAACTTTGACTTTGTGCTTTATATCTAAACTGTGTAGATATAAAGTCAATTATAAAAAAACATACTCCTCAAGGAGTATCCTTGAGAGTCCCTGAGGAGTATGTTTTTTTTATAATTGACTTTATATCTAATCTGTGTAGATATAAAGTCAATTATAAAAAAAACATACTCCTCAAGGAGTATCCTTGAGAGTCCCTGAGGAGTATGTTTTATCTATGATATAATCCATATACATATATAATCAGTGGTTCTATGTCTGTGTTCCTGTACACAATTTTTGTACTGTAGTCTTAGTCTTAGTGGACCCGGGCCGACTGGAGCTGAACACACAAACACAAGAAGATACGACGGCGCTGAAGGGCCACCAACTATAAAAAAATATTTTTCTTAATCTCTGAGAAAAAACTTAGAATTCTGAGTTTAAAGTCAGAATATAACAAGTGGGCGTTCCACTCTGAGATTAAAGTCAGAATTCAACTAGTGGGCGTTCCCCTCTGAGATTAAAGTCAGAATTTAACAAGTGGGCGTTCGCCTCTGTGAAAGGAGTTAGAATTCTGAGATTAAAGTCAGAATTGAATTGTGGGCGTTCATCTCTGAGATTAACGTAAGAATTGGACTTATCTAGTCTCAACTACCACGGCCACCAAGGCGGCCGTGCTACTATACTCTACTGTACTCTTCTCACGGCCACCTTTAACTCCAGGCCGCGGCCTGGTAGAATTGGCAACGTTGCAAGTAGAAGAACACAGTAGAATAGACAACAGAAAGGATATTTATATTATTTCTTTTGTCTAAGGTAGTAGGGATGATAGCACCGATATGTAGATAATATCGTTGCAATAAGAGAGGAACGCCCACAGTTCAATTCTGACTTAAGAGTTGAATGCCCACTAGTTATATTCTGACTTTTTTCCCAGAGAGGAACGCCCACAATTCAATTCTGACTTTAATCTCAGAATTCTAACTCCTTTCACAGAGAGGAACGCCCACTTGTTAAATTCTGACTTTAATCTCAGCTGACTTTAATCTCAGAGTGGAACGCCCACTTGTTATATTCTGACTTTAAACTCAGAATTCTAAGTTTTTTCTCAGAGATTAAGAAAAATATTTTTTTATAGTTGGTGGCCCTTCAGCGCCGTCGTAAGAAGAAGAGGCGAAACGCGAAACGAAAACAAAAAGAAATTTTCGTCTGCAGTGCTGTGCTATGTGCTAGTGCTAAAATTTTGATTAGACTTCCGATTGAATATTATTTTTATTTATTGCTGAGCGCTGAGCCCTAACAGTATCAGAAGGTTTTGGGCAGGCCTACCCATTTTAACAGTTTTACAGTTACCAAATATAATATTTGTTTAGTGGTATAAAAATAATAATTGTACCTCTGTTTGGCCTAATGCATTAAGGTTAGGTTAAGTTGGGCTTATGTTCAACAGAGATTGTATATCAAATTGGTTTGGTTGATAAAGAAATGAAACTTAACCCATTCTTTTAACCATGTAATTTGGAATAGATACATTGCTTTGTAGATTCATTGAGAAGACTTTCACTGTGTATCTTGTGATAATTGTGACCGCAATATCTTTTATAATGTGGAAACTACTTCCCCACATATCAAAAAACCTATTGTGCCGTAATAGTGTCTTCAAAGTTCCTCAAATTAGGCTGTTTTTGTCAGAATCTTATAAACTGGATAATGTGTGGAAGGAAAGATTGCAATCCCCTATTCTCAAAAGAATCAATGTGAGTGATATGTTTTATGAACTGGATAACCAATTTCAACATTTTGCTTATGCTAGTGCTTTGGATATCGATCTTTTTGTAAATGCTGTAAACGATGATTCCTATTTTGATGAAATAGAGGATGTCCTCTATAAGTTGAGATTGAGTCCAGAGGCAGTTAATATGTTGCCCTCAACTCATCATGCTATTGTTCGATTGTACATGGAATGGAATAAAACTCAGGATTTGATGAGAGTCCTCGATGACAGACTCAACTATGGTGTATTTCCAGATGACTATTGTAGTTTGTTCATGATTGACTCTTTTGTCAAAGCTCAGAATTTCAGGGACGCCGCCAAAGTTAGTATTTTAGGCATGCTACAGGAAGAGATTTCAAATCCATTGTTAAAGTATTATTCACTGTATTCTTGTCACAAGTATTTGGAAAACCCTATTCCGTGGAAAGATGCTGAGGATGGACAGAAAGGGGAGGAGGAAGAGGATGAAGACGAAGTAGTTAAGGTTAGAGTTAGGTTTCTTCGTAATCCCTATTTCGACGACAACTTTGATCTTGTAGAACCTCATCACTTGATAGGGAAGACAATGACGTATATTGGATCAGGTATTGACAGTTGTGTTGGAAAAACTTACAAACTTCTTGGCTTGATCTTGCATGAAAAGTTTGATGAAGCAACCAGTTACATTACTGCACTCTCATCGTCAAAAGAATCAGATTTAGTTTACGAGGAAGGGCTAGCCCTGGCAAATAGGATATTAGAAGAGAAATCCAAAACTGAAAGTCAAGATGAATCATTTAAAGCATCTGTTAATAGATTGAAAGAGATTTTGAATACATCTTTTACCGACACTCAAGTCAATAAAAGAAACCTCTTGGAAGAGTTGGAGTCAACAATCAAGGAACTTACTTCAAAGCATGAAAAAGTAGAGATTGATAAACAATTGGACGTAAGTTTTTTAAACTTTTTACTGTATAAAATATAATAGGCTAACCATAGTATTTTAAATTATTTTATAGCCTACATTATTATATTATATAACTAGGCCTACTCTATATGTACTCTATATATGGATGTAAAGTAATAATATTGCTCACAAATATTAAAGGATTATGGCAATAACATTTTATTATTTTTTTCTGCTAGCCTACCTTACAAACTCCTAACTTTTAAGTAAACCAGAAGGGAGCTGAGTTTGTAAACAGCCTCTTCTTTACCTGGAATTCAATACTGAGACCTTGGCCTAAGTAATTTTTTTTTTAATTTTACCGGTATAGGGTTGCTTAGGTAAATCAAGTCAAAATCTAACACCTGCGTTGTGTTCTTTAATCTGCACTCACTAGCCTACTATTTTATCTGGTTCCATCCTCCATGCGACGATTAGTCTCACTACAGTAGCCAATAAGTATTTAAGAGAAAATTGATGCCCTCACCAAGTATGAATCACCCCTATTAATCTGCTTCCATGTGACAGGTGTGTAACTTGCATGCAGAAAAGTGTTTATACAAAAAGCAATTATAGCCTAAGTGTCTCAAGAAGTTCACAGAAAAGCCGTACCCTACACATTTGCATGATGAGGACGAGAATATTATTTTTTAAATTTATTACAGCCTAATTAAGTTGCGGATGCATAAAAATTGGTATGATTAAGATTACCAGGGTTATCGTTGTCTTTAGTTAGCTGGTCGTAGAGATGTCCCTAAATTGATAGTCTCATCGTTCAGGTACACCTCGAACCGCACTTAACTTTGGTTACTCCCTCAAACCAAACTGATCCAGTGAATGACTGAAGCCATCATGCAAAACATTTTCACTATTGCACGAATGCTTACAACCACCACCCAACTGTCCTACGCTCATTTTCTAGGTTCAAATACTTTTCTCAATTCTTCTGGCAATAGATTTCAATAGGACACCTCAAACCTCAGAAATCTAATCACAAAACACGATTCAGAGACTGCTTGGAGGGAGCATAGATTTCCCTAAACATAGTTAGTCAGACCAGTATTTAAAGAACATGGCACTTGGATTGATGCATTAAGTGTTGCATGGACAACCTTTATCAATCCACATCATAACATTGGAAATTGTAAATTAAACTTGTTAAACTGTTGAATACAATAAGTTATTTAATTTTTCCCACCTAATTCACAGCATAGATCTCAGTCTTGCTAGCAAGGTAGTTAGCTGGAAAAGGCAGTGGACTTTATAACTGTTGAAGGTTCAGAGTTCTAGTAGTTTATTTTAGAACTTGGCCATTGGCATTTATTTTATAGAAGAGGTTGTCCAAGAAAGAGGTTCGTTTTATAGAAAACTCAACTAAAAATATGTAATGTACAGACTTCTCTATATTCACCCCAAGCTGTATACATCATGTGATTGGAATTTCTTCCATTTGTTTTGATTTTTGTTGTTATTTTGTCACCAGCATAGTAACCCATAAGGCCCGTGTCCACTTTTTTGAGTTTTGAATTCATTTTTGTGCTTATTTTGAGTCAATTTGAATTTATTAAAGGAATTCTGCTCATCTAGGCCTACATGAAAATATCTTTATTATGCATAAGTTTTCCCTGCAATGCACATGAACTGAGAAAAGAGGTTTTAAAGAAACATACTTGCCTATTAATATATAGATAGGCCTTTAGATAAAAATTTTGTTTGCCCCTAGGGTTGCTCACAGGGTTGTCAAGATCATCAGATTAGTTTCTATGCAACTTGGGTATAAATTCTCTCCAAAGTATCGCTACTCAATAGTATGTATTGTTACTTAGGTCATAGAAGAGTTTTCCGTAGTATCAAAGTTGACTCTATTTTGTTATTAAATGATAAATTTCATTATCAGTATCAACTTACCCACCTAAATTATTTGTATTTTTTAGGCCTATAAAGAGTGGGAGAGACTAAGAGAAAGGCTGTTAATAGAACAAGTTGAAAAAATAAACAGGGAAAAACAACTAGCAGAGGTGCAACGGCAAAAGCAGCTCTTGCAAGAGAAAGAGGAGGAGCTTTTCTTTTTTGAAAATGAGCCTAAGTTGGACTTAATTATTGAAGAGAAAGAAAAGAAAAGAGCTGAAGAGGAAGAGAGAAACCAGAAGATCAAAGAAGCTCTGCAGCCTCCGAAGAAAATTGAAAAATGGAACAAGCCAATACCCCCAGAACCAACAATTGAAGATTATTTTGACGACAATATCCCTCTGAAGTTAGTGAAAACAAAATAGTTTAGTACTGTGTAGGCCTATATCTTTTGTACTGAAAAGTAGGTATCTTTTTAAGCAAAACTGTAAATAAATAAATTAAATTTGCTTGACTATTAACAGTTTTGTCTATCCTATTTCCAGGACGTCCGGCAAGCCAATAAGAATGGCAAAAACTTGACGTTCTAAAATTTAGAAAATTTGTTAGTATGTCGGACCAACATGTTGGTGTTTATTAATTTAACAATTGCATAATTTCAAGTATCTTCAAATAGCATTAAATATACCCATTAAACACTCAGTTGTATTACTACCTTAGACTAATGCCAAAATTACAAAACAACTAACTGCTTGCTTAAGGGTAGGCTAATTTTATCAGCTGTCTATAAGGCTGTTTTTACACAGGCCAATAGAGCTGGTAGGTTACCTGACTCTAGTGTATTTCAAGTTACCTTTAGGCAGGTAGAATGCTTGCCAAATAGTTCAGTGTAAACTCGGCTTCACTAGCCTATATAAAAGTCAGCATTACTTTAAGAATTCATCTCAATGAATTTAATGATTCCTGCCTTACAGAAATAGAGAAAATACAGTTTTACTTTTAAAAGTTACTGGGCTGGAGTGCCTTTCCTAACCAATACATAAATGATTTATACAAAATAGCTAGATGACCCCTATGTAAACAAGTTAATGTATTACAAAAAAGAATAAAAGTTTTTGAACTTATGGTTATAAAAAATTGCACAAAAATAAAAACATACCAATTATTGATCAATTTTTTAAACAAAAATACATTTTACAGTTGTTTTCTAACTTACCGTACATAAAACAGTAGGATATGATGATAACTCAATCAGTAATAAAGTTTTATTAATGATAAATCGTTTTGTTAAAACAGATCTGGTTTGATGTTACAAAAGAGACTTATTTATTACATGACTGAACAGATTTAAAACTAGTTTCATAGACTTTGAGAATATGGTATCACAGTAAATTGGTATCGGTCCATTATCAACATTACAGAGATAAAATAATTAAAATTTTAACATTATAAATTCAATACAAATCAAACTATAAATAATTAATAGAAAATAAAACCCTTATATCATGACTAGGTTGTGCCCCAAGGAAGAAATAGTATTTCTACAAATTTAAAGCACAGAAAACTAAAATAAATTACATTATTATAATACATTTACGTGCTTAAATTATTATATGAGTCTACAGCCCCAAGTTCTTTTTTTTCATGGACGAAAGCAGTGTGAAAACACGCTAAACATTTGAGCAGCATTAAAACGGATACATGCCCGCTTCTGCGGAAAACTCACTGCGTGTGGAATTCCTCATTACATCTAATGCTGCTCATATTTTTATGTGTTTTCACACTGCGTACGTGCGTAACATCTGTTAGTAAAGGAGGAAACAAAAAAGTCCATTTTCCAAGCTACCTTTTAAAGGTAAACAATGTACGAATCTACATTACGCAAATTATTTAGCATAATGAATAGTGCAATCTGACAAAAAACAGTTCATCAAAAGGGCAAAAAGTCTCTATCTTTAGCCTCGTCTTGGTTGTTAAATTTGAGCTCGGGCTGAAAGAGCCAATGTGGGCTCTTGTGACAAAATTTAGCCTACCAGGGGTCTCCAACCTACGGGCCTGCCAAGTTCTAATGAAAAAATATTAATTTCATTTGATTGTATAGGTACATCTTTGAAGACCCCTGAAATATACAATTAATATTCATTTTACATGTTATTGATATAAACAAAATATAATGAGGTCATTTGTGTATTTAAATGAATCCTTTGGTATTTAATAAATACCAAAGGATTTTTTGGGATTTTGTTAGAGAAAAGTCCCAAACGTAGTCTTGTATATTACCTTACGTTGCCCTGTTCTTAGAAACCATAACTAATGACCCCAAAGACCATTGGTCACCAGTCAAAGAACTGTTTTAGGGTTTAAAGTTGAGCACTACATACGGTTAGTGAAACTTTTACAAACATCCAACATTACTATAAAAAAAAACAAAAAAAAAACACCCTAAACCAACATAGGATATGTGCATGGCTTTTAAACAGCGACTGCTAAATCATTGAGGCTCTGCCAGCTGTGTTGTTATTTTACCTACCTGTTTAGTGTTTATCTACTTATTCTTTCTGTATAGTTGTCTTAAAAATCAGAACGGTTCTGTCTAGAATTGAACAACCAAGTGTTAGATCCTTCTAAAGTACCTATTATTGGAAATGTTGGGTGTGTATTATGGAAAATCCACTCCTTTCTCTGAAGTGTCTTATAACCAGTATTGGCTACAATTTTTTTTTGTCTTAGACGCTAGGCACGAGCCCGGAATTGTTTTTCACATTACTTCAGGCTAGACCTAGGGTTTGCGGCATTATCACTTAGATAAAATCCATTGGTGACTTGGCGGGATTTGAACCCGGGATCTCAGGCACCAAAGTCCCATGCTCTAACCTCTACACCAGCTCGTTCCCCCATTATTATTATATACAACAGTCCCATTAGGCGGTAAACTAAGTCAAGCTAAAACTGTGCTTATTGCACTAGGCTGTTTTTAGTGATCATCTCTGATACATTTTTAAACTGAATTGAAAGATTTTCCTCTTTATTGATAGAGATTTAAAAATCTTAATGAATTGCTCAAGAGCGTAATTTGATTAGATTAAAAAAGAAAGGTACCATACAATATTATACAAGTTGCTTGAAAATCCAAATTAAAATCTTAAAACAAATTTGTTGAAGAAAACATAAGTTTGGTCATGGCTAGGATAATTGAACAGAATTAAATTTAAAAGTGGCTTTCTTTTTAGAAATATCTATTGACATAATATTTTCAACTACTTTGGCATACTCCACCTATTGAATTTAGTGTAAAAATTAGTACAGAGCATGAGTGTTTCTCCGAACCAATTTAAGGAACAAATATTTGCTTAGTCGCTGAAAAATTCTCCTGACAACATAATTTTTATAAAATACGATTGAGGTAGACAGGTCAACAAGTCATACTGCATTGGCCATGTCGAGTTCCGGTAATACTTTGGATTGTTACGTATCCGCTCTAATAAAACCTGAGGATCAAAATTGCTATCACTTGATACAAGTGATTTGGGAAGCAGTCCCACAACAGTTTCAGTCTTTATTTTTAACTTGTCTGTAAACAAAGGTCTATCATTACTCTTGGAGCTTAGTTCATTTCTATCCTTATCATCCACTTGGTAAGATATATCATCAGCTTTCCAATTATCATTGTGCAACAATTTACCCTCATCACTTATGTAACTATTCTCCTTGTTGTCATTCTCAACAGCATCCTTGTCAGTGTTGCTGATGGTATTTTCTTCCACAGAAAGTGTTTCAATGTTTCCTTTGACCAAATTATTATTTTCAATACTTGTACTTTCCTTATCCGAGGACTCATTTTCATTTTTGTCTTCTAAATTGTATTTTTCCTTCTCGATTTCAATTATCTTCTTTGTTATGTCCATAAAGTGCTTATAGTCGTCCAAAAATGTTTTTACTGTTTTTCCATCGACTACCAATTCTATTAACCTTTTAAAAAGCTCCATAGTAACACTCTGGTCTTCTCCTTCTTGATTTAGGAGTTTTTTTGTTTCCTCAAGAGATCTTTTCATATTGTTTGCTAAGACAGTAACTTCAAGCCTTTGTGTATGAAACTGAATTCGTATCTCAGGACTGTCGATAACTTCATCCAAACTTTTTGTCAACTCCAAATTCTCTAAGCATTTTGTCAGATGAAGCATCATCAACTCTGCCTCAGCTAAGACGGCTTTTTTTATGTTGTTAAATTGCTGCCTCATCACCAACTCAAACAATCCCTTCTCCTTCTTTTCTTCATTCGTTCTAGTAGATTCTTCTGAGTCTTCACTTCCTTCAAATAATTCTGTTTCCCCTTTATTAACAATCTTATTTCTATGACTACTGTTTGCAATGTGTTCTCCTTCCTCATTAATATCCTTTGAACTATCAGAACTGGCATTACGGTCTTTTGCTACCTTTTCTTTAACAGATTCACTATCCTCTTCTTTTGATTCAGCAGAAACTTTGTTGTCTTCTATCACTTCTTTTCCGTCCAGACCTCGTTTTTTACGACTCAGGATTTCTTCGGCATGTTCAATGACGTCTACAAGTTCCTTCAGCAGGTCATGACTCCAAGCAGTTCGCTTGAGATGTTTATCAAGGTTGTTGTTGATCAGAGTTTCAATCATCTGCAGCATATTTAGAGACAACCTTTTCTGTTTTCCATCCACTATAGGCTGCACTTCTCCCGGGTTGGGAGGAGGAATCGTGACAATATCCACTGCTCTGTTCTTCTTCAATTTCTTAAAATAGGCATCACCTTTCCCAATGACTGGTTCGTCATCCGTAAAAGCTGAAGGTAAATCTTCCACTTCCTGTCGATCGTTTCCTGAAAAAGGCAAACAAATGTTAGGTTAGAGTAGATAATTCTGTTTTTACAAATTCTATAAGCATAATTAATTGTATTAATGGTTTACTGTACTCACCAGAAGTGCTTTGTGAGACTGAGGGTGGTTCTTTCATTTGATTGAATTTTGCAAACGAAGATAGTTTTTCGCCACGAGCGGCTTCTCTGTTGTATCGCTTTGGTTCACTGTTATCACTGCAGCACAGTAATGCTCCTGGATCAATTGGATGAGCTTCTGCAAGAAATCATATATTTTAATTACATTTTAATCAAATTAGCGGTTAAATTGAATATTGAAAATTTATATTAAAAAAAATATATATTTTAATACTAAAAGAGAAAGCAGAGTATCATGTCTATAAGTATTTATTTTAATTTACTATTTCAAAAACTATCACGATATTAAAAGAATTCAAAACCATATGATTTAGACAGCTTGCAGCATGAGCAAAAATCAGTACAAAAAATGATCTTGCTCTACATTGAAGCACACCCGCTTCAAAGTCTAATAGATAATTGAACTAAAACTAAAAGCTAGAGGTGAGATGATAGTCAAGAAAAACAATAAAAAATTAACTACCAGTGTTGAAGATATATCCTCCAGCATCCAAGATGCATTCTCGCCCTGATGGCAGTGTGTGCACTGACCCTTGCTGTCCATTGTTGTGTATGAAGTTGTCTGGGTCAAACAGCAAATAGAGGTATTTTGTTGTCTCCGACAGGAAAAAAGATTCCATCCTATTCTCTAAGCTGTGGTCTCTAACGTCTTTTACCTGAAAAAATATTGGAAAAAATTTACTAGGCCTAAAGCTAAATTACCCCAAGATTAGATTAGATTTTTAGCAGAAAGGCAAATTTAATATATTATACAATTTGTCTGTTTTATTTTATATAAATTGAAGTAAAGGTCATCCTGTAGAAAAGGTAATCCTACTTTTACTCTCAGGATCTAGTTAGGCCAAGTAAGGTTGTGATTGTCTAAAATTCATTAATAATCAATTTGAGACACAGGCTGATTCCTGTTTTAGTTAAAGGGAGTCTGGAGGTCTTAAATGTTTCTTTCTATCCATTTGAACTCACCGTAGCATATCCACATTTGGTTCGGCTGCTGTGTTGAATACTCCGTAAGATATCTAGGCCAACATCCAGCAGGAAGGGGTCTTTAGTAGCCCTATGGAATAGATTATAATTACAACCAGCACAAATGATGGTATACAAAAGTAAAGTAGATAATCTGATAGTCATGAAATTACTTTGTGAATGATTAAACGTAAGTATAGAGATAAGGATGGCATACCTATACAAGTACATGGTGCTCTCTATGAGTTCGGGTCGCAGAGGGTAGGCCTCCCTGTTGGTGCCAACGTGACCTTGTGCGATGTTGTAGAACTCCGGAGTGAAACCGTACTGCTTCCATACCTGGTGATAGTTGTGAAGCGACTTCATACCTCCGCTTATGTCTCCTAAAACACGAGGATAAAACTTGTGTGTTAACTTGTGACTGGTTCTCAAATAGCAGCCCTACAAATATAACATCTTTACAAAACACTCTAGGCCAGGATTGTGATTTTTAGAATAAATGAAGGAATGAAAATCAAAGTTCAGGTAAACCATTGTACACTTAGAAGAGACAGAAGCTCACAATGTTTCGTCCCATGATAGACTTTATCAAGTATGACGAAACATTACATCTTTTCTGTGTGTGCGCTATGATAACCTAACTAGACTTTTTCCAATGTAATCTAGCTCCTCTTCCTTTACAGAAAGAATAAGCTATGAAATGAATTTGAAGTAGGGATTTATAAAATACCAAATTCATCTTTGCCTAAGAGTTATATATTTTTTTTTAAATAACCTACAAGAATTAGTATAAGATGGGCTCTGAACTATCAGGATACACAGCATTAACACGTTAAAAGCATTCTGTGTGAAAAGCATTTCTTTCGCGTTAAAAGCCCAAAATCCTTCAATATATCACGCCAGCTGCACATTAAGGATATTTTTTTAAGTTTAAATGCTCATTTTTTTTACGCAATTAGTACACTCACACTAGCAATTTCCTCCCCTGGATAAATTTTCACTTAAACAGTGTTTTCGGCTATTATTACGTAATGCAGCATTTCAACTATCAAAAATGTTTTAAGAATGAAATATAAAGTAAGTCTAGGACTGTTTCGAGCCTTTATCTGGAAACATCTTGACTCTATTTCAAACAGGAGCAAGTATTAAAGTACTGGACTGGCAATTCAAGATATATGTTAAACAACCTCCTCACCTATAAGACTAAGGACTCCAGGCCAATAAGCTTCCAAAGACTGGAACACCGGTAGAGTGACTTGACCTTTGTGCATGGAGACCCACAAGTACCAATCGTTGTGTTTGAGATACTTGTCAATGGCCACTCGCCCTTCATTGAATATGGCCATCAGTTCTGGCTTTTGAACCAGCAGAGCACCTTTTAACAGTGAGCCATTAAATTACTGTACCGTACTCTTTAAAATGTTTTAAAGCCATCAGAAAAATTCACCAGTGTTATTACCACGAATTGTACTTATAAAAATAATAATAATACACGAGTGATTCTATGAGGTAGTCTGCCAAGGTTATGGCCATTGAACCATGTTGTGAGTTGAGTGCTCTGGGATAATTCTAGTTTTCTCCGCAATATTACGATTAAATATCATGACTAAGTGTTCCCTGATCAGTTATAAAGAAACACATCAACATAAGTGATGAAACAGCATAATTTATAACTGGTGCCTACCTAATATTTTTACTCAACACAAAAGTAGTGTTCTATGAGGTTACACCAGAGTATAATAATGAGTTTGAGTTTTTAAAACATTAGTTTAGTTCAAACTAGAACATTGAGCCTCAGTAAGGTATACTCTTAAGAAGTAAGTTGGACACTTTATCTAAAGCTGAGACTATAGCATGTTTAAAAACATGAAGATAATATTATTTCAAACAACTTGAAAAGCTAACCTTTTACAAGATACTCCAGGTAGGAGTCAACACCAGCTCCAATCCCTGAGTCCTGAGCTGTCCATCGTCCAGTCATCACATCAATGTGGTTCCCGTACAGGCCGATGGATGACCGGTGGTTGTACAAAGCATGGAGAGCATTCATGGCTACCTGCAACAGATAAGTTGTCAAATAACTTCTGAATCAGCACCGTACAGGTAATTCAACTACCCAGAAGTACAAAAAAACCACGTACCATCTGTAATAATACATGCCTGCCTTTTTTCTTTATTTTAATAAAACATATTATGTTAGTTCAATTAAAATAAAAAATAGGCAGGCATGGATTATTACATTTTCTCCCCCCCAAGGACTACGACCTTGGTAAGTAGGCGCCCGAATGTACCTTTGGTTGTTTTTATGTCCACAACTCTTATCATCTTTACTTACAATAGAGTCGGCAGACGTCAAAACATTTTCAGAGATTGAGCAAATCCAATTACCGGTAATCCAAAATACCCAGACCACGATGTGAGAAAAAGTGATTACCAACGTCAGATTGTAAGGCCTAGATTTTCCACTTTGTTCTAATTAAACTTACGTTACTACATGAAGTGAATTTCATCTCTAGCCACATGTAGGCCTATCCAAGATTTAAAGATTAAACATCAATGCCCTGAAAGTAATACCTCTTCGTATAGAGGGTCGCCAGTGAGCCTAGAAAGAGTTCCAAACTCTAGGATGAACGTCCCCACAGCAGCTGTACAGGTTACACTGGTCTCCCCCGGCGGCACCCCGTGTCGTAGGTTGACAGTGCCGTACGGCATGCCTGTGGTTGTGTCGAACGCTGCTATCAGCCTACGAGCAACGTCTTCAGCCAACCTCAGCAGTGGTCCATTGCACGGCCATCCTGGCTCTAGGTCTACTCCTGCCCTGGAATAGTATTTTTGTAAGCCAGATATTTTTTAAATCTAAGCTAAAAAGTTAGTAGCACAACTAAAAAGCTTAGTTTAGTAGACCATCGGACAAAAGTTTTTGAATCAGAACTAATTAGTGTGAATTTAATCAATTTGTATCTTTTTGAAATGTGTGTTACAGTTAGTATTTGTTTGTGTTAACATTTTAAAGTTATTTTATATAGGGTTATCCAAACTCTGGTCTTGTAACTAAAAGGTTTCTGTATAAAAGGCACCTGCTTGGGAAAAAACCAGCAGCGCACAGATTTTAAAATTAATAGCCTACTAAGCTACCACCTGGCAAGTAGGAAAACTAAGATTTCTGATAGCGGTTTCCACTGATTTTGTTGAAAGCCCCAAAATTTCATAGGTCTACAAAGGATAAAAGGTTTAGGTTACCGTACTTACTGTGAATTTGACCTAAATTAACTTCTGTTTACAATAAAATCAAAATCAAAAATCAAAATTTTATTTGGCCATTCAACATTTAAGTACAATAGGCTAGGTCACAAATTATGCCTAATCCTCTTGGGTCCTCTTGACGTACAATAGTCAGTCCATAATAATGAAATAAAAACATGCACAAACATCATGCAGAAAACACTAAAATATTGGGTGTGTGCTGCACCCATTGGCATATGACCATTAGCTACTTTCAAAAATATTATCTGATAGCTATTGAGCTGAGAGGTGTAAGTCTAGGCCTACTTACCTTTGAGACAGCAAGTGGGCACTCAACAGTCCTCCAACAATACGAATGTTTGTCTCAAACACGGAAACATTGATGTTAGCATCAAAGTTGGCGTTTGACACAACGATGTCAACCACACGGCGGAATTCTGTGTAGTTGCCCATAACTGCTAGAGTGTCTAATGCGTCTATTAGCGTTAATGAGTAACTGAAAGAAAAGACAAATGAAAATTTTTTCTAGTGTCTTATTTGCATTATTGATAATGTAGATCTATGGATCAATTGTTTTAAAATTAAGACTGAATAAACTGAATTAGGGCCTAAGTATTTTTTGTTTATAAACACATTGGTTGGTTCCCGGATGAGATTGAGTAAGTTAGATTAATTCAGCATACCGATACCCTACATTACCTGTACTCAGATTACTCAAAAATTGAACCAACTTATCCTTTATTCAGCTTTTAAGTTACCTAAATAATTGAGACAAGTTTTTTTGTAAATTACGGTACTTAACCTTTTTTTAAGAAGTAGAGTTATTTTTGAAGCTGGCATATTAGTTAGGTCAAATTACATTAATAATTACCTTCCCCATGTGTCTACACCATCACAAGTTAGAGGCCTGAGTTCATCATAAGGGTAGGCATACTTCAAATACCCTGAATAAGCGTGATTGAACATCTCTCTTACTTCTTCCCTGAAAAAAAAACTTATTCAGTTAGATGGCTTATAGCAGTAAGTTAATACAAGTAGACCAGTTGCCCGTATAAACAATTCAATTAACTAAGGCCGTTGGTTTTGCAAGGGAAATTGTATCTAAAAATAGCCACCACTTTTTGAATCGTAGGCCTAAATAACCTATTAATGTGGTGATGAACACATCAAACGTGGTCTAACTTAGACCAAGCATTTGTTTCTATGATGTGATGATATTGGTTTCCTCAAATTTGATAAACAAGCTAAGTTTGAAAACAGTGGAAGGTAAAAATTAAACTTTTTCAGACAAATTTATTAGAGTCTAAATAAGGTCTAGACGAAGGCCATGGAAAGAGGCAAAAAATTAAGTTGTTGCATAACTTAGTACATAAACATACATAATCAAAACTACGGGTACAGTTTCTTAACTGGGCTATGCTAATATCGATTGAAACTATCGAATTGAAAATATTGATTAATAAACGATATTTTTAAATATTTCTATTATAAAATTAAACTATCATAACCTAACCTAACCAACCAAACTTGCTGATGGTGAAAAAATCGCATGAAGGTTTACTAATCGAATCGATAGTTTCAATCGATATTAGCATAGCCCAGTTAAGAAACTGTACCCAAAACTACAATGATCATACCAAAGGTCGAAGGAAAATGTTAAAATGTATATAGGCCCCTAGGTGTTAGGTTCATAGCAATCTCACCTTAATTTTATTAAGTCATCTTTGGTGTATTTCCTTCCTCCATATCCCAAATTTGGTTTGATTACAGTTAGAAATATTACTATAAGGTGTAATTGAAAAACTAACCACTTTAAAACTGACATTGTAACAAACTAACATTTATAATGAATTTTACTATTTTACTTCATAACCTAAACATAGTTCTGTTTGTGACGTTTGTGTTGTGTTTTGTTTTGTGTTTGGAACTTTGACGTTTCAGTTTAGCCATTTGTTTTTTTTTTGACATCAGCAGATCAGCTCCAGCTGTTCGTTGAGTGAAGCTTGTTCTACATGTTTGATCAAGTATGATGTGTTACTATTGATTATGAAAACATTCTACATCCATTCACCTTTTCCGAATTCACTAAGCTGGGGATACATTATTAAACATTGAAGTATACGAAGAATAGTTATTTGTGTAACTATTGGGGGAAGTGGTACTTTGCTGCACTCGAGCTCGTGTTACACATTTCATTTAATTTATTTCAACGGCAAATTGCCAATTTATACATGCACAATTCAAAATAGACATGATAACTGTGCAACAAATTTCACAAGGAAAAGCAAAGAACAATATGCTTAACAAACAATGCAAGAAATAGAAACAGTAACAGATCAGTCAACGAGAAATATCAATACATAGGTACAATAACAATGCAAAAATTGAAACAAGAAAACAAAACTATAAAAATAACACATTTTTTTACAGTCACCCGAGAAAGTGGGTTTCCTTGCACTGATTATAGTACAGAAAGCTGTTAATTGTATCGATCTCTATGTAATAATAGAGATAGATATAATGCATCTCTATTACTGGCTGCATTTACTTACTTTGCCGCACACTTTTACTTTACTTTGTCGCAAACCAGTATTCAAACCAAACAACAAAAAACAGCGTTCTTTTTATTATGCAAGTAATTTGTGTGCGCTAGGAAATAGGCTGGCAACACCTAAAGATACTACGACACGATCAGCTGGTACAGCGTTTCCCATTTCGATCATTGTTTGGATTTAACCTAATCTAAAAAAAACATGCTGTGCAGTGTTTGAAAGACAAATTATTTATATGATTTATAGTTACTGTGAGAAAAATTATTTCAGATTTGTTATGACCATAATTATACAAGCCAGAGATTTAAGATTGTCATGAATCATATGTTAGCCTAATTCGGAGATTTGTTGGTACAATAAAGAACATGTTGATAGCGCAAGCGCGGTGTATTCATATTCTTACTACCGTATCCACGATTCCACGATTGATATAAGCCCAATTTTCTTAGGCGAATGGACCTCAAGCGTGTGTAATGGTTAATGGACTAGGTGTGGGCTTAGGGGCTGTTAAACTTTGACTTTAGTCAGAACTAGGCATCCAACCCCCATGTTTTTGTAGTTAGTTTTAGAATTGCAATGGGCGTAGGTAGTTGAATAATTGAGCTATCGACAGAATAAGCTGATGTAAATTAAACACTTCTATCATCAAATATGCAAATTTTTAACAAAGTCTAACTGATAGGATGATGTATTCTAAGCTACATGTTAGATGTATTTTGTGTCACGTCAGCTATTTCAGTAACATTTAATGACTAGGTGAACCCCGTCGAAATCGACGGTTGCTTTAAAGGCTTACGACAATTAACTAAAAATACCCCCGTCGCAGCAAACCTGCATACTAAGCGAATTTCCATTTACCCGGCTTGATTTCTACTAAAATATTCCCTATAAATTTTCAGATTTATTTCCTATTTAAATAACATTAATTTTAGTGAGTAGTTAGGTTTGCTGTTACGGAAAAGATGTTGAGGTGTGTTTTTTTGAATTGAAATATTGATAGCTTAGTATGAAATAAGCCAAATTGCCAAATTTGATTAAAATATATGTTAACTGTTCCTATGTTAACTGGTTTATCTTCTTTTTTGACAGCGTGCCATTATTGGCACATGAGGATTAATAAAAAAAATTATGTTCGCCTGTTAACTTTTGCATTCCAACAAACAGCATCCAAAGGTTCTTTGTCTCTTGCTATTATGGTTTAGTGCACTCTGATAGCTGTTTTGGCAATTACTATCACTTTTAGACCAACATGTAAAAAAAGGAAGCATGAAGGCTACGTGTAGAAGGTTAGTAAATTACTTCTTATTTCAATATTTTAGGCTGTTTACTTATATATCCAACTGATTTTCACAGATTACAGATGAGAAAACATAACCCAGGTCATTAATCAGCTTAAATATGAATATTGATTTTTTATAAACCAAACCATTTGAGTGTGACAAAAATGGCACATTGCCAAAGATCCAGGGAACTACGAAAATTTCTGGGCGTGCCAAAAATGGCACATTACCAAAAATGCAGTTATCTTTTTTAAATGTATGTATCTTCCACAAATTGTAATTTAAACTATTTTCGTGATGAAAGGTAACCCAATAAGATTATTATTTATTCCAGGACAGCGCTCCGACATTTTTCAGCCGAACGGCAAAGATGATGGTACTGATTCCCGATCCAGCAACCTCAGACTCTGAAGTGGAAGTCACGTTTGGGCATTGCCGACAGTTCAATGAAAAATCTGATGGTGATGAGAAGTTCACTACCAGGGGAGAGTGAAGAAATGTTGGCAAATGTTGAAAACTTTGAATTTCAGGATCCTACATATATTTCCTTATTGAATTATTCTAATATTGAATTACATGAACACTTATTAGGTAGGGGACACAAATGCCATAGTTATGCCAAAATGCCTCACCTATAAACCCCTATCAATCAGAATCAATCCTTGATCTCGACAGATACAGCCAGTACAAAAGATTTTTTGCTACAACCCTCAAATTATAGGAAACTTGTAGTGTTTTAGGCCACACGTATTAGTGGTACTGTACTGAAGAACTTCCAAATCGTTCACTAGGCTGTTTAGAAAAGGCTTTAGAAAAAATCCCGACCATCCATGGAAACAAATCTCTACGAAAATGGGTTTTATTTACTTTCATTGAGCGGAGCGAGCGAAGCTCTTATACGTCGACTTTTATGCATTTAGTAATACGCAAACTCCTCCTAGACGGCTGAATCAATCGTTTTCAAATTTTGCATGGTGATAAAGACCATATCGGCGAGTGCCAACATCTATATGGCGTTAAAAAAGTCTCTCAGGAATCCGCCCCACTGGGTCTCAAAGTTTCAATGTGATCCTTATGGAAGCAGTATTTGACACAAAAACAAAGACATATGATCAGCTGTTGAATTTTGAATGCAGTAGATAAATAAATAGCTGATAGCATTATTCCACAGATATTAGAACATAAACGGTGGTATGGATCATAAATACTATAATCAAATGAAGACACTAGCTTGAGGTCCGTGACGTAGGAAGTGGTGAAGGAAGTAGTAAAGGTGAGCAGTCTGGAGTGTATAAACTGTTTAAGACGATTAGATTTAGGTAGGTATCTGCATTCCTAAAATTCTATGGGAAGAGAGGAAAACGGGTCCGTGACGTAGGAAGTGGTGAAGGAAGTAGTCAAGGCGATCTGCCCGGAGTGTGGGAACTGTTTATGACGATTAGATTAAGGTATCTGCATTCCTAAAATTCTATGGGAAGGGAGGAAAACGGGTCCGCGACGTAGGAAGTGGTGAAGGAAATAGTCCAGGCGAGCTGTCCGGAGTGTGGAAACTGTTTATGACTATTCGGTTAAGGTATCTACAATCCTAAAATGCTATGGAACGGGAGGAAAACAGGTCCGCGATGTACAAAGTGGTGAAGAAAGTAGTCAAGGCGAGCTGCCTGGAGTGTGGGATCTGTTTATGACCAATAGATTAAGGTATTTGCATTCCAATAATGCTAAGGGAAGGGGAGGTAAACAGGTCCGTGACGTAGGAAGTGATGAAGGAAGCAGTAAAGGCGAGTTTTTCGGAGGGTGGGAACTGTTTATGACTATTCGGTTAAGGTATCTGCAATCCTAAAATGCTATGGGAAGAGAGGGAAACAGCTCCACTACGTAGGGGGTGGTGAAGGAAGTAGTAATGGTGGGCAGTGTTGAGTGTGGGAATGGATTAATGTATCTGCAATTCTAAAATGATATGGGAAGAGACTGTAGACTGAAGGTTAAAATGATTATGAAGCACGAATCGTTACATATTTCGATACGTATTCAATCGTTTACAATAGAAATTTACAACTGAGTTGACAACAGCTGAGTTTTACTCCATAGAGGCTTAAACGAATTTTATTCCCTAAAGAATAAAAATGCTACTTTAGATCCGAAACGCTTGCACCAATGACGACTGTTTTTATTGCAGCATGACAAAAACAATATAATATGAACCCTTGATGACTCCGCTCAATTTTGTGGATGCATCTGCGAACGCCACCCTCGCCACCTAGTATAAGTTACCGCCACTGACACCTACACTCAAATTGCCGCCTGCCACTCATATCGTACCCGAGGCAAACAGTTGTTTGGTTCATTGTTGATTGCAACGCCTGAAAGTCAATTGATTCTCTTAACAATTTGGCCACCGCTCTGACATCGGGTCCCATTTAGTTGAGCTGTGTGTAATATTGTTGATGTGACCACGTGGTGGCTCGCCGCTCATATCGTACCCATTGAAGTGAACATTAAATTAAGATTATGATCCTTACATTTCAGATACATTTTATAAAAAAAAACTACCCCATTATTTTCTAAAAAAAAACATGAAAAACGCAGACCCTTGAGGCATACCAACCCTACGGCACGCAGCGCCATCTATTATGCACGGCGGCAACTAGCGGCGGCGGAGTGTAGTGTATTGATTGGGGCTCAGTTGTAGTCCAGTGGTTGGTGGCCGCGGAGCTTAGTGATCTACCTGCTTATCCATGGAATAAACACCAAGGTTAGTAACAACCAATTAGTTAGTAACAAACTTTGCATACGCATGTACGGTAATGTAATTATTCAAACTTGAGTCTGGTATAAAAAAAAAGAATTTCCACAATCATTTTGCCAGTTTACGAAAATTTGTGGTTAAATTTATACAATTTTCGAAAATTTTCAATTTTGGTGAGAGTTTGTATTAGGTGTAGCCTATTTGGATTTTCAATTAAGGAAACGAGTAATTTTTATTTTCTTAAATAATTATGCAATGCCTAATGAAAAATAATAAAATAGAAATACATAACTACTATGTCGGCATCTGAAAATGC